CATCGTCGACCTGCGCGTTGACGACACGGACGCGGAAGCGAGGCTCGTGCGACTAGTGTGGACGGCACCCCCCGCCGACCTCAGCTTAGGTCAAGGTAAGGTCAAAGGTCGCGATGGGGGGTCGGCGATTTTTTTCGTTATTTTGCTGCGGTGGGTGGAGCGTCATGAAGTTAATTTTGGAACTTTAGAAAGCGAAGAGGGCAATTGATGAAATGATTGATTGAAGTCTCGTTTGTAAATTATTATATAAATAGTAATTTTAATCGTATATTATAGCAAAAATCTAATTATAATGATAATTATGATCGTGCTAAGTCAAAAAAAATTAACTCTTTTTAAATTCGTATTACATTTTTTTAAATATTTATTTTCAAAAATTTAGTAACGTACAATTAAGAAATCAATGAAATCAAAACATAACAAGTAATTAGCTAGTTATTCACGTATTTTGTTAAACAATCGATTACATGGATTGAATTGTTTCGTCATAGAAAAGTTGAATTCGTCATTATTTAACTAATAAATCTACATTTTTAAAGTTGACGTGTGATAAATTGCGACGTAGAAATGATACAAAATAATTTGAATTGAAAAGTAACTTGATAACGATAATATGGTATAATAGGATCGTAAATAATAACAACTTTGCGGGTCCCGTTCTTGCAGTGTCGGAGTATGACATGCGAGTCGCCCAAAGCTTCGACCAACTCTACAACGACTTCGACGCGTGCGACACCTTGTGGCAGTTCGGCTTAACCAACATGTCCGACACGCTCGCCAACCCGGGGTCACCCGGTGACCTCGAGCTGCTCTCCGTCCGCGACGACGGTGGCGCCCCCAACGGCACCATCGTGTTCGGCATCCGGTCGACGGGACCGCCTGGCGGCGACACCAGCGACGTCTCCAACCTCGTGTCAACGTCGCTGACGCTAGTGGCGCCGCCGCCGGTGACAACCGACAAGCCGCCGGTGACAACCGACAAGCCGCCGAGCGACAAGGACGCCCTCTACTGGGTCGTTGTCGCCGCGATCTGCCTCGGCATCGTCGCTGTCATCGTCGCCATAGCGATCGGCTGCTACTGCTACGTGTGCGGGCGCGACGACAAGGCCGAGGAAATGATGGCAGAAGAGGGCGCCACCGACGGCGTCGCGGTATTCGCGAACCCGACGTACGACGGCCACAAGGTGGTGCCGCGAACGGCCGCCGAGAAGAGAGTGCTGCCGCGCAGCAAGGTCAGCGAGTCGCTAGATGACGCCACCCCGGAGGTGCTGCTTGCAGCGATGGGCGTGCGCTACAGCGCCGACGCCGGGGGCGGATCTGAGATGCTGCGAGATCAGACGAAGGATGACGCATCCTTCTACTGAAGCCCTAACGTCGTTCTACTGAATCCCTGACTTTCTACTGAAGCCCTAACCTTCTACTATAGCCCTGACCTTCTACTGAAGCCCTGACCTTCTACTGAATCCCTGACCTTCTACTAAAGCTCTTACCTTCTATTAAATCCCTGACCTTCCACTAAAGCCAAGATATTCTACTGAAGCCCAGGCTTTTTACTGAAACAAAAATATTCCACTGATGCCCAGGAATGAGAGCGAGAAATTATTCGTACAAATGCAAATTGAACTCGTGTTTTCTTGCGTGAAATAACAATTCATAGGAAATTTATATATCATTTCGTAGTTAGACAACTAAGTATCGGTGGAACATGTATTATACTATTGTTTGTGATATTACTGTACACGGTTATCGTATGATCAAAGATCATCCAACATTTCATTGTTATTAAATTGCTAGCAAAATGATTCCTATTAGTAGGCCTATAGTATTATTATACATGAGCGTTGTAAGATCAAACGTCATATTTACCATTTCATGGTTAAAAACATAATTTGTATTATTAAGTATTTATTATTATAAAATGGTCATTCAACAGAAAAACAGCATAATGGATTTGAAAAACGTTAGCACAGATTACGTTTTTGATATGAAAAGTTGTGGAAACAAATAATTTATAAAAACTATTCTCGCATGTGTAAAACAGTTGCGCATCAATAAAGCGTTATATTCTACTGATAAAAATACTCTTCACTCTATATTTACACGTTAACAGCGTCTCTCGGTCCTCGTCATCTGTTATGTAATGCCTTTTCAAATACTACCTGGCATACAAGGCCTTACCGCTGCTGCTGCCATCTATAGTTGATCTTCGGCGTAAATTATAGCACAAACAATCATCGCTGTTCAGCTTTTTTATTGGTCAAACATCAATACTGTTTACAAGCAGATGTTGTTATTCCGCTGTTATTATTGTTTACTATCGGTACTGCACGCATGCGTGAATGCTTGTCTCATATAGATCTACTACATATACGTGTCGGCGCTATGCAGTGGGTTCTTAACCTTTTTTGAGTCAGGAACCCCTTTGAGAATCTGGTGAAAGCTACGGACCCCTCCCCAGAAAAATGCACATGTTTTTTCATTTTTTCATTCTTATTATTTATTCATCTTTTTTTTTAAACACATTATTATTTTTAAACCAAACAATTTTTATGCGCCTGGTTCACGGACCCCCTGAATCCCATCCACGGAACCCAAAAGGGTCCATGGACCCCAGGTTAAGAAGCTACTATGGTCTGTCTAGATCTATTCTCACCGGCTACCGTGACCATAGATGTATAGAGGCACTAGTCTAACTAGTTGTTATTTTCTCTATGACCGTCACTTACCGCAGGTACTGCTGCACGTCTCCCAGAACGTGCTGCCCTCTGGCGGCTGCCGACAGCAGCTACCTTCTTCACGAGGGACACGTCGCGATTTGTGACGTCACGCGCATCACGGTCGGCGCCGCTTCGCCGCCTAGCGGTCACTTGCAGGTCTGAAAACACAAGGCTAGCATGAGGCCGCTGTGGGGCGGGGTGGGGGTGCTAGCGAGGGTGCGGTCTAGCATAACACCACGAGAAGGAGGAGATAGCACGTAGCGTTTAATCCATATCGGAGAAGAAAGAGGGAGCTAGGGGGAGCGAAGGAGAGGAAGCGAAGGGGAGCGAGGGAGGGGAGCGAGGGGGAGCGAGGGAGGGGAGCGAGGGGGGGCGAGGGAGGGAGGCGGAGGGG